AGGCTGCAATGCTTGGTAAGAAATGTATGCATTATCCTGCCCATGCAATTGTAACCCCTCTGTACAGTATGTTCACAAATAAAATAAAATTAAATTAAAAAAGAAAGAAAGAAAGAATAATATTCATTTGCAGGGAAATGGATAGACCTAGAAAAATCATGTTAAGTGAGGTAAGTCAAGTTCAGAGAGACAAAATATGCTTACTTTTTCTCACAGGTGGAAGCTAGATCGAAAATACACCAGGACATGATAAATCTAAGCATTCACAAACAGTGAGACTAAAGGAAGATACTCTTAGGGGAGGACCCAGAGGTGTTAACTCCTCTGTATATTTAAAATACTACTCATCAAAATGAATTCTAGGAAATGAAAACATGGGGTTTTGTTGTTGGTGGTGGTGGTGTTTGTTTTTGCCTTTTGTTTTATCTTTTTTCTATCTTTTTTGGGAGGTAAGAGGGAACACAGAAATGGAGGAAGGAAGGATGAACAAATGCAGGCATGGTACTCAGTATACACTATGTGGAAAATGAACTATGCAACTTATAGGCAGGGACAGGAGGGAGAAACTGGGGAAAAGCAAAGGAAAGGGTAAAATTGTCCAAAAAGAAATGTATTTATTACCTGACTTATGAAATGGTACTCCACCCCCCCTGTATAATACCTTAATGATAACAATAAAATTTGTTTCCAATAATTATAAAAACCACATAGACAAACAGCCCAGTTCATACTTAAGCCACTTCTTTTCTTTTTTTTTTCTTTCTTTTTTTTGGTGACAGTCCTGGTGTTGAACTCAGGGCCTGAGTGCTGTCCCTGAGCTTTTTTTTTTTTTTTTTTAATAAAAAATCAAGGATGGCACTCTACTACCGAGCCACAGCTCTACTTCCAGTTTTTTTGGAGATAAAAGTCTCACCAACTTTTCTTCTTGGGCTGGCTTTCAACCATGATCCTCAGGTCTCAGCCACCTAAGTAGCTAGGATTACAGATGTGAGCTACCGGCGGCCTGATTTATTATTTTCCATAGGAGAAAAAACACACACAAAACTGGAGGAAAATCTATGAAAATTATAAATTTTATCCTCAGTGGACTCAAGCAGATGCGGTATCAACAATATGAAAACAAAGCAACTGAAAAATTAAAAAGCTCAAAAAAAAATTAAAAAGCTCTTAGAAATGAAAAAAACTAGTCTTAGATGGCATTCCTGAAAGACAAAGGTTTTCATCATGGGCTGCTTTGATATGGACTACCCTAAGCAGGGGAAAATGTCTCCACACTAACGACTAAGGATTAAATGTCAATAATCATTTCAACTTCTTTTCCAAATTGCAGCAAAAATATAACAGTTATATAAACAGAGATAAATCAACATGAATAAATGGGAAATTTAGGTGAAGATCTTCATTAGTCTTTCAAGTTTTCTATGATCTTAAAAATTTTCCAAATAAAAAAATGGAAAATATAATTATGATAAAAACAATAAATCACACATGTACTTACAAAATATGCAGTAAAGTCTAAGAGAAAATAACTTTATAATCCTATTCTCAGGGATAATTGCTGACTAATGGCAAGTTTATTTCGGTATACAGCTTTGTAACATTTTTTTTTTTCTGTGCGTAACAACATCCTCTCTTTTATAAAGAAAATGCTGTTATCTCTTACCAACTTTGCTGGAGGTAACATGGCTGCTAGCAGTCCTAAAATCCTCTTCTGGGAACACTCAGCAAACACTTGCTCAGGATTTGGAGTAACTGCTTTTTCCTCTATTGGCTTCTGAGATGACGATTCTGAAATCTCAGCATCTATGTGACAAAACACCAAGTTTTCAGATTTCCCAGTTTTTATATATGCATAAAGAAACAAACCACTGCACTGTCCCACTGTGGTTAAGAATAAAGCTAGGACTTTATTTAAAATCTGCTCAAAGGTCGGGTGCCCGTGGCTCATGCCTATAATTCTAGCTACTCAGGAGGCTGAGATCTGAGGATTGAGGTTCAGAGCCAGCCCAGGCAGGAAAAGTCTGTGAGACTCTTATCTCCAATAAACTACTCAGAAAACTGGAAATGGAGCTGTGGCTCAAGTGGTAGAGAGCTAGCCCTGAGCTGAAGAGCTGAGGGACTGCGCCCAGGCCCAGGCCCCACCACTGACAAAAAAACAAAACCAAACAAAAAAACCTGCTCAAGTTGTACACGGTAATACATGCCTATAAACTCAAGAAGCTGAGACAGGAAGATTATGAAATTGAGACCAGTTAGAACTGCATAGTGAAACTTTGTCTCACACCAAAAAAATACTGAACACATCTTTGCAACATCCCATTCTAAAGGAAGCCTGTCAGTGGCTCTATTTGAGGGCAATTCTCTCCGAAACCTTCCCATTCTTCTGGCCCTGTTGTTCAATTATATGCTTACTAGCATTTACCATCTTTTATATTTGTATTTATTGTTTGTTTTTGCTTCTTTCAGTGATGTATCTGCAGCACCCAGCAATGTCTCTGGAACATGGAGGTACCTGATACGACAGTGTGAACTGGAATGCTGGTCCTTAGGGGAATCCAACTCTGGTAGACTTTGATGACTGGGCACTGATATACAGAATCAGCACATTCTGAGAACTTAACCCACAGATGGGGCTCAATGCCAGGTGCTTACTCCCACCTCCATCACAGAACAGCCAATAGCACAAATGTTCTCTCCCTGAGCTACCACAGAGTGAAGCTTGCTGGCCCAGTCTCATCAGCCTGTAGTAACTCCTTCAGCCTCCAAACTGCTCCTCTATCCTACAAAATCGCCATCCTGATGGTGTATTTCTATCCTCTGCCAGGCTGAGAGGTTGAAATTTCCCAGGCAGACAGCTTGGGCTTTGACAACAAAGTCCTTCATAGCAGCAGTATTCCATCTTCTCATATTCTGCTCCATTGCTATACACTTGCCAAAAAGGTTTCTCTCCTGTGTTGTTCTGGGGCTTTTGCTCATTGTGCACTTTTTGCCCTGAATGTAGGTTTTTCCACAAGAGTCTAGCGTATTCATCTCCCCACATCTCTCCCTTTATATGGTTTAAGTGAACACAGTGTGTTCCAGAGAATTACCAATCACAGTTAACTCCTATGTAGTCCTCTCCTCTGAGCAGAATCACATCCTACCTCAAGTGACAGTTACCTGTACCTTAGTCTTAAACTTCAGTAGACAGGGACCATGTCTGTCTGCCGGTATCAGTCCCTATTTCAACCCAGGGCCTAGCATGGTTTTTGGTACATAGAAGGCACTCAGTAAGGGGCTGGGAAGGTGGCTCAGTGGTAGAGCTCTTGCCTTGCACGCATGAGGCCCTGGGTTCAATTCCTCAGCATCACATAAGCAAAAGAAAAAAAGCTGGAAGTGGTGCTGTGGCTCAA